ATGTGTATCAATCTATAAATTATAATATACCATGAAAAAAAAAACTTTTAACAAAATTCTTTTTCAAATTTTCAATTAATGAACTTGCTCAGCTTTCTAATGACGGGTTTTATTTCCATTTACCAAGAATGTTTTAGAATGATATCAAAATTATGAATAAAATTTACACATTTCATTACATAGGAATTTTAACAGAATTCCTTACATGAATCTGTTCGATTTAACAGCTTATTATTGTAGAATGATTCCCTCAGCAAACGACATAAAAATGCCAATGTAAAAAAGTGTTGCCGCCTAATCAGAAATGTTGACTTCATTAATTTTTAAGGAAGATAATAAAATTGGGTAAAGTAAGATAAAATAAGAAATAATAGAAAATTCTTATCACAAACTTCAGCAAAACAAAAGGATCATGATTTTAATCAATTTCTTTTTTTAAAAAGAAAATAAATAAATACGATGCAGAAATAATGATAGCCATAAGAAAAATTTCTTGAAACAAAATTAATTATTCCTTCAAAGTTTTTATTTCATGGTATAGAAACTAAAAGTAGCATTCATTAAACAATGCACTTCTATTGTACAATTTATTTTATGAATATATATGTATATGTTGAAATATTTGTGCTCTTTGTTTACATTTATAAAATTTCTAAACATGCAAGATTTGAGAGTGTTCTTTTTCAGTTATAACTAGAATTTAAATATAAATTTTTTGAAATAAAAGTCCTAAATGCGCCTTGTGAATTATTCATTTCTTTGTTGGTGTTCCTCTGCCACAAATTATTTCCACTTTTTTAATGAAAAAAAGTATAATATAATATTTTAATATAATATTCTTATTTTTTTAATTACTTAAGAAGTTATAAAAATTGTTATCATTGAAAACAAATGAAATATGGAACAAAGTTAATAGATTTAACAATGAATATTTTGGAAAGAAAAAAAAATCTTAAATAAGTTATAATTCAGAGACATGAAGCAAATTCTTCAATCAACATAAATATCATTATTAATATACATGCTGAACTTTTCGATGATTTTTGTTTTTAATCATGGATTTAGATGAAAGATTACATGATTAAATGAAAAATATAACCAAGATTATAAAGAATAAAAATATTATAAAGATTGCCACAATCAAAAATATTTGCTGATTCTTGATATGCGATATCCAATAAAAAACTGAAAATTTTTATCCTATTGCTTCTGGAAACCTGGCAAAACACGGATTTTTAGTCGGCAAAATTTAAGCACCTTATCCAGATATTTTGTTACAAAGTTGCTATCTGTTTTATTTGTCATCTTCAATTTCGATCTCTGAAATTCACTATTTAATTTAATACTAATCAAATGTATTTCATTAGAATTTATATTATCATTTGCTAAAAATGTCACTGAAAAACATAAAACCAATAATAGTAAACATAACATCAAGAAAATAATGCCATAAAATAATGCTAAAATTCAACACAGATATTTCCGATTGCTTTGCACTTACTCTTTTATGTATAATTTGTATTGAATTAAAGAAACAAGTGACAAGTTTTGCTGTTGTCTCTGAACTTTGATAGTTTTGTATTATCAGAAGCGGTTCTATTGATGAAAAATTAAAGCAACTGCTTATTACATAGAATGCTTTTAATATTCATTGCTCACCAGACATCAGGTTTTAAAGCAATTTCTTTTTACACTTTTACAGAAATATAACTTTAGACATGGTGACAATTTTGTCAATGCTTTATTTTTCTTAACTGCACTTTAACTCTCATTAAAGTTAATTTTGACTGCAAAAATAAATAAAAAATTAAATTAAGGAAATTTAAACTATTTCAACATTTCTGTCTTTTTTTTTTTAACAGTTTAGGACAGTTAAAATCACTTTTATTGAGGAGTGTCCAGCTATATATATATATATATATACTATTTAAAACTACAAGTGTACCAAGTAAAAATTATATTTAAATCATCTGATCAGATTTAATAACTTACTAATAATTAGATTCATAATCTAGCCGTAATCAGAAACTTAATAATAGTAATATTTATAATCAAATCGGAACTAAGTCCTCAACTCTGTAATACTTGCATTAAAATTATACAATTTAAAAATCATGAAATTTTCTACTGGACAAATATTTTACAAGATTTAGTTCTAAGTAAATTTAAAATGCTCAGATATAAATAAAAACATATATTAATATTTTTGAACTATATTTATAGAGTTTATTATAGGGCTTAACTTTAATCTTTGGAGCTGTTTTCGTGGTTCCTTTCAAATTGCTTCGTTCACTCATTGGATACTTACAGGGAAAAGGGAGGCTAGAGTGAACAGATTTTACAAATTTGTCAAAAAAACATATTTATTATAACTTTTGACTCATGAAACATTCTTTAATAATAAGTTTGACGTTTACCTACATTCTTGTTTATGTGAACAGGGTGCGCAGACAATTTTTTTTTTTAAATAAGCACTGAAAAAAATAGTTTCAAGTACTTTTCATTTAAAAATTTATAATTAAGGTATGAGATTTTTTCCTATTGTTTAAAGTATTTTATACATACACTACCCTACAATGATTGATGAGACATAAGTTTCTGACGCTTTTTTCTTCTTTTCATTTTAATTTCTCAAAAAACACTTAGATCATGCGATTAGTTCAGGTCATGCGATTTCTCATACTTAACATAAAGTTTTCAGAGGTTTGACGGACTGGGAATAAATTAAGAGTAAGAAAAAGTTTTTGTTTGAACACTCACTGTCAGAAAATATACCGATAAACTTGTCTCGATTACTTTGCTTACTGAATGCTATAATTGCATAAAATTCCGAAAGCATAGCATGAATATTCATGGAGATATGGATATTTTTATGAAGAAAACAAAAAAATTTTTTTGTCTTAGGTTATTTTGCAAAAATATTCAATAAAATTTGAAAAACATTTTGAAGCAATTTTTAATTAATAAAAAAAAATATAATTTTAAAATTTGAATAAATGTTGGTTAAAAATTGAACAAGATCTGCACAGTATGAAAATTTAAATTAGTACTTTCATACTGCGCAGACCGGGAAATTTTTTTTAGAGAATCGCATTTGGTAATTAATGATATAAGTTGAACATTTCAAGTAAATCTAGCAAGAAAATTAAGCTTTTTTTTTCCAACTCCCGAACACTCTTCTTCTAACACACTTTTTCCAAATGACGTTCTAAGATTGTGCAATATATACTCCCTGCAAAAAATTAGATTTATAAACACTTCATTAAATTTAGATTACTTACAATTTGTATATAAATTTTAATGCTATTTAAAAATTATATTTAGAACAGATAATTCATGGAAGCTATACAGAATTAAAAAATTCAGCACACCATTATAAATTCTTCGTTCTAGCAGTATTACAAATAATGTATTTAAAAAATGTCAAAAAAAGGAAAAAAAAATTGTAATAAAATTCAGTTTGGATCTCGATGGTCAAGGCATTTCTGGCCTATTTCCAATGATAAAATGCAGTTATTTTCTGCATTAATTAATACATATCTAAATCAAATTACTTACCTATGTAAAGTAATAACCATAATTAAAATAAAATCCTTTGCAGCTTGCTTTTATGAACTTTTCTTTTTTAATCTTTAGTCAACTTAAGGCCTTGGTTTTCTTTACTGCTTTTAATGGAAATAGTAGTTTAAGCTTAATTTGAAAGGTATATTAGATCTTGCTTTTTCTATTTATGTTTATGATTGCTCATTTGCTTGGTATTTTAGTTCTTCGCACATTGCAGACAATGCAAAAAAAAAAAAAACAACAAAAAAAATCTCAACAATTTGGGTACTTACAATATAGATTCTATGGACTCAAACATAGTCAAAATATTTGCATTAGAAACAAATTAATGGTGACTCATATAACCTACTCATTTTTTAGGACAATTTATAAATTAAATTACATTTACTGTCAATATATTCTCCTTTAAATTGATTATTGAAATAAAACATAAAATAATTAGTATCTCTGTATTAGAGGATTTCCTGATAAGGTTCAACTACATTGCAGTAACTATAGTTTGTTATTGCATTATTCTCGACAGTAACTTATGTTTATAGATCTCTTTTAATTTATTATTCAGATATATTTTGACAAATAAATGTTAATGTGTTTTTGTTTGTTCAATAAGAAACAATTTAAATTTTATATTGTTTTGTATAAAAACTAATTAATTTCATGTGACTAATGTCCAATTCGATACAGGTGGATAAAAAATGTTTACTTAACCGTTATTTATTTAGACTATTTATTTTTTAATACAAAACAGAGATGTTAAGTTTTTGCCATCACAGTGGAACAACTCAAATGGAAAAGATTTATTTTCAAAAGAAAAAATACATCAAATAATAAAATTATTTTTAACAGCTTTTAAATGTAATCTATTTTAAATAATACTATTAATTTCCAAGCTATTGAATGCATCATTTCCAAGTAAATGCAAATTATAAAAAAAACAATCCTAAAAAAATTTTGATGAATTTTTTATTAAAATTAAAATAACCCTCAGTTTCTTTCAATATTTTACTTAAAGGTGAATAGTAAAACATAATTTTATAATTGCTATAAAAAAACTTATTATCATAATAAAACTTTAATATCATAATAAGGCCGGGATAGCCTGGTCGGTAGGGCGCTAGGCCCATGTCCGAGAGTTCATGGCTTTGAACCCCGCCGGCCGAAGACTTCTCGTGTAGTAAATGGTGACTGATGCACTTTAAATCTGTTGAGTCACGAAGTCCTCCATGTTCTCATAACAAAGCATACCTCTGGGGGTACTGATCCAGGAGTTTCCTTGTCTTATGGATTAGTTCAAAATTACTGAACATTAATAGTCATAAACCCAAAATTGGGTCGGCTGTTCAGCGTACATAAATGAAGAAACATAAATAATGAAGAAACATACAAATATTATTTTTGTCATATTTATAAATAAGCAATTATACCCAACGTAAAAATAAATTAAAAATACTGGTTACTTTATTTATTATTTTAAACTTTTAACAAAGAGTAAAAAGTTGCCAAATTGTGACACACAATTCACAATTATAAAATTATAGGTACTTCCAAGCAATTTACAGACTGTTAGAGGCATCTTTTAACTATATAACAAACATAAAAAAAGCAAAGAAACATACTGAAAGTGATAAAAAGATTATCAAAAGCTTTAAGAAGCACAAGAATATTTCTTCACAGAGTGAATAGTTTTAACAATTATTAAATAAATACAGTAATTTAATAAACCAGAACAATATCACAAAAATTTAAAATAAAAGAATGTACATAGGATAAACAATTAAACATTAACTTAAAATAAAACGTTGTACTTAAACATTTCCATTGTTTCTTTATGTGATAAGAAAATAGTTTGATTTCTATAAACATCAATAATTTCAAATTTTGGAACATCTTTCAGAGCGTGTTTGCCCACAACAATAATATAAGGAATTCCCAGTTCAGAACACTCTTGTACACGTTTACCAATTGTCAAATTGGTTCGATCATCAATAATAATATTCCCCGCTAAACTATCAATATTATTTAAACTATCAGCAATATGATTGGAAAATGGCCTGGCATGCTCTTCTTTACTGTTTTTCTTAGGAGAAATTATTGATAAATAAAAAGGCGCAATAGAAAGAGGCCACCGCAAATCACTACTGGTAGAAAGATTTTCCAAGCATGCAGTGAGTATCCTAGTAACCCCGAGTCCATAGCAACTGGCAAAACAATTAACTGATTGGTTTTCAGATGAATCAAACTTAACTTGAAAAGGTTCAGAATAAGTTGTGCCCAACATAAATGCATGCCCAACTTCAAGAGCATTGCACTTTTGCAATGGCATATCACAATCGCTGCACTTCCCATCTCCAATATCAGTCACAATTTCGACATTTATTCCAGTTTTGCAAGAGGGGCAAAATAAAATTTCATCCTCACCGATTTCAGACTTAAAATGAAACTCGTGTGACTTTTTCCCTCCTATGTCCCCACTAGATGCTTGAACTTTGATAGGTTCAATGTTTAAATGTTCACTGAGTAGTTCATTATACAATTTACACATTTGTTCATAAGTGCACTGCGAAGTTTCTTCCGACGAATCAAATGCATACATGTCCTTCATTAAAAATTCTCTCCCCCTTAAGAGACCCAATTTTGGGTTCATCTCATCTCTGAATTTTGAGGAAATTTGATAGAGTTTTAATGGTAGTGATTTATAGGACATACAATATTTTGATAATAAATGATGGGCTATTTCTTCATGAGTTGGCCCTAAACAATGTTCAATCGATGATCTATCAGTGAGTTTAAACAATGAGTCAATAGTATTCCATCTGCCAGATATTTTCATTAACTTTTTCGGAATAAGAGAAGGAAATAACACCTTCTGCCCATCAGCTTTAGCCATCAATGAATCTATTAAACAACATAGTTTCTCAACAGATTGCACAACTAAAGGCATGAGAACAAATGTTCCCGGGCTAACATGTTTGATTAATCCTTTAGTAAGCATTAGTTTCAAACTTTTACAAGAAGATAACGCTGCTTTCTCCTTTGGAATGGATTCCGGGAAACACAACATTTGTGACATAAGTTTGGGCTTTGAAAAATATCGAATCATTTTAATGAATGTTCAAAATTAGAGACTGATTTTGAATGACTAATATTTGAAACCAAAACTAAACTTATTAATATTTAAATAAAGAATAATGTCAAGAAACTTATCTCAAAGAAATACAGTATGCTGTACAAATAGTCAACCGGTTGCGGGCATACAGTTTAAAAAGTTTATTAACTTGAATGCTCAGTGCTCATAAAAATACAAAAAATTGCAGACTGTTTAAATGAACTTCATCATTTCACTTCTGAAAATACAGAGAGCTGACATTAATCACTAAGGCTTTTCAAAAATTTTTCGAGTGATGAATCTAAATTCGATGAAATATTTGCAATTTTTCTAGCAAAAAGAATCCACTTATAAGGTCATTGAAACAATATACATTACTTTCTGGTAAACTTATTCGTAGTTTATTAATTAAGGTAAAAGCGTGTATTTTTTCTAAAAGAAATTTCTATTTAAGAAGAACGCTTTCTTATCAAGAAAAAATGGGCAGCTGGATGCGATTTAATACAAAAGCTCACGGTTCAAATAAATCAAAATAAACAAAATTGCATGTTTGTTATAGTTTTTGATTAATTTTTGGAAGACTTTTAATGTCTTTTTGTGTAAGATTTTTCTTATGGGAATATTATTAGATTGTTTTAATAAGTAAAATATTGTTTATAATAATAAAAGTTTATAATTTATGAAAAGGAGTATAACTTTCTAATGATTCAATTAAAAATTGTAATTCAATTACCTGAAAATAAGTGAATAAATTATAATTTTTAGTATAGTAATAATTATTTTTATGCGAATCATCATAGAAGAGATATAAATGACTTGTTTTATGACAAATAAACTTTTTTCTCGGCGAAATACGCTTCTTAAATCTGTGTTAATAAAATATGTACATGGCTTTGCCACCCAAACTTTCAAGAAACGACATTGTTTTAAAATTCTCTTTCCTTGGAAAAGTGAAGAAGAATTTGGAAATAGTTTAATTTCGTCGATTGTATATAAAAAAGGTAAGTTGAAACTGCTGAACTATCTTAATGTTTTTAATACGTTTCAGTTTATTCGGGTGCCCGCGAAAAGTAGCCCAAAAATGTAGTCTTGTCTTCTTTTGCTTTTTGAGAAATGCCTTTGATTTATTTTTATTTTCTTGAACTCATTAAAATTAAATAATTAAGAAAAAGGGGATATTTCTGTATCGTGATCTGTTGCGCCAACTACAATGGCCAGGAAGCCAAACAGATTATAAACTTGCAACTTTTTTTAATTAAAAAACATGTAGATGTTTGCCCAGGGGGTGACTACAAGTTATACCTTTCTGTGATTCACATGTATGTGATGAGAAAACAAGTATATTATTTTGCATTTAAATATTTTCCTTCCCATTTTTCTGGTACCTCATGTACTTAAATATTTATTGAAAGGGGCTCTAATTTGTTTACACTAAATTTGTATTTGCACTTGACTGAGATGTTGTTTCCTATTGTAATTTAAATAATGATGTGTTTTTGTGACTTCAGTCAGATTCATTACATGAAGTTTCGTAAAAATATTTTATTCGTCATAATAAAAATGAAGCAAAATTGCGATTATATGTGTTCCGAAACTTTGCTTAACTTTTTTCAATATTCTTTTTAATTTAAATGGATATAACTTCTCTAATAAAAAACCTAGAAGATTTATTGACAAAAAAAAAAAATTATTACATTTTTATCACAAAAAATAACACAGAAGAATTTTAAAAAAAACTTCAGCATTCTCATTCAGAATGTTTAGAGTGCTAATATGAGGGGGAATTCTAATGTTTTCCTCATAATTTTGATACTTCATTATATGGTAATTATTTTGAGGCCTCTGATCCAAAGAAAATTATTTTAACTACCTGCATAGTATTTTTTTTTTCATAGATGGGAAATGTAATTATACAGCATCAGTGTTTTCATCATAGAAAATCATCATCTCCCTTTCTTCAAAACAGGGTGAGATTTCAAAAAGTTAAGTGAGATTTCTAAAAATTAAAAAAACACAAATAGACTTGAAAAAAAAATCATTTCTTGAATTATAATACATTTTTAACATCTTCCATTTTTTAAAGCATTGAATATTTTTGCATCATCATAGAAGATTTTGCCTTTGCAATGTATTTGTCCATCTTACATCAGTGCATAAAAAATTCGAACGTCTTAAATGAAGGAACCTTACCTACGGTAAACACGTAGTTGCAGAGAAATGTGTTCTGGAAGGGGTTCCATAGCTCGGAGGGATAGTGTTCTGTTTTTCAAAAGGTTCTGAACAATACTGGATCTGAACAATGCTGCTAGATAATGGGGCAATATGAAAATAATGAAAGATCCAGGAAGAAAAGTGAAACGGATTTTATTCTAAATGGCGTAATGTGAAGCTTTTTCCAAAATGCGAGAAATTTGCAAGTTTTGAAATTGATTTATAGAATGCGCAAATCTCTTGCGGTAATCATTTTTTTAATGCGAGAAAAGAAAAAAATGTGTGAGATTCTCGCGTTCTCGCGCTATAGTGAAAACACTGAGCATTGATAAAGGATGTATATAAAGGTAATTCTTATTGATACTTTTAATGGTCTTATTGATATGTTTGAAGTCCTCACCCATTTATATATTTTGTTTCAGATGGATTGATAGCTCTTAATAAACCATTTGGAGTAAAGATTCATAGTCACGATAAGCCAGGTAAGAATATAGGTCAAAGCTGTCTTACTGTTTTGATATTCTTATTGTAAGTTTTGTAATATATTTAATTTGAAGTTTAAAAGTTCTGAGGAACTTCATAATTTACCACTTAATATAATACATCACTCTTGATTTATCAAGAAATAGAATTACTGTGTTAGTATTTTCTGGAACTTAAGTACTATTGTTACTTGAAATAAACCATATTTAAGAAAAAAGTTATATTAACATGCTATAAGAGTTCAAGTTAACCTGCTATAAGGAAATTTTTCCAAAACCGTTTAAGAGTAGGACCCAATTTTAGTAAAATTTCTGGGTCAAAATCTAAATCCGTGAAAAGGAAGAAAGTATCTGTATTTTATCAGAATAAGTACATTTTTTGGTTTGATTTCATACCTTAAAATATTGACTGTTCTATCGAATTAATTTACATATGTGAGATGGAACCCTGAAATCAATAAGATAGAGTCCTAGTATGTGAAAATTCCATTACTAGATCAAAAGTTATTCAAGAAGTACTTTTCTTCCTTTTTTTTTGTACTTATGCATACCTCTAAAACCTTTATATTTAAAAATTTTCTTTTATTTATTTTTCCTTATGAATATTTTTTCTTCCATATATGTTTTGTTATGATTAATTCTTTCATATTAATTTACTTTTGCATTCTAGGGGCTCGATCAAAGCCCGGACAGCGCAAAATAGTACCAACGATTGCAGAGACTGATTACACTATTGAAGATGCTTTGCCCATTTTAAAGAGCTATTTAAAGGCACCTGGTTTATCCATTTTAAAATCAGCCGAAAAGTAATTCATATAATTCTTTTCTTTCATCCATTTTCCTCCTTTTTGATCTTCTTTTTTCCTATTTTTTTAACTTTTTAGCCATATTAATCTCTTTTTTTTGTGGAATAACATACTAACATATGTCTTTTAGTTAATTCAAAAAAATCTTTTTTTCTTCGGTGTCCATTGTTATCAATATTTAATATAGAGTGCGATTTTGTAAGTAATTTGTTTTAGATTGATAGATGGCTTGTTACAGTTTTAATTAAGTTGGCATATCGCAAGTAAGACTAGAGATTGACTATGGATGTTTAAAGAAACAATTAATTTATAAATTGCTGTCATGTTTTGTTATTTTTTATATGTTATATATTACAAAGTCGTAAGAAAAATTAAGGACTTAAGAAAAACTATTACAATTAATTTGCTGTAAATCTGTCAGGGCTCCCACGATACAGGGAGAACAGGGAAAACCTGCAATTGTTAGGGAATTTTATTTTAACTCCAAAAAGCAAGGAACAGTCAGGTAAAGTTGTGTAATATTTTACAAAAAACCTCGAAAATTCCTGTATCATACATGGAAAATAACCAGTCTTAGAATTGTCAGTAACAGTAATCAGTTATTGAGATTAGAGTTAAATAATTCTAACATTTACTACAATTACTTCATAAAATTCTGCTTTTTTGTGAAACTTTCCCATGTTTCCATTCTCATTCTGTTATATGTTTTTGCTCACAAAATTTAATATATTTGGCATTACAAATAAAAAAAATCAAATTTTTCTGATGGAAAATTGCACGGTATAGATAAAATAAGGTATAGATTTTTACCTGATATTCCTGGAAAAGTCAGGTAGTTTTTTTTTTTTTTTTTTTTTTGAAATTGAGTGGGAACCCTGATCTGTTTATGCTTTAAAATAATGATATGCTGTTAATTTAGAAAACAATGTTAGTCTATTAAAGATTGAATTTCATTGTTTTACAGAGCATCACAGCCAAGTCTTTCTGTATCATGTGGATTGAAATGTAACTTTTTATAACTAAATTTTTGAAAGAAAATGTATTTTCTTTCTTACTGTGTCTCTGCCTGAAGTTAAAAATTTCATATTTTTGCCTACCTTAAACATAGTATTTTCATTACAATTAGGTACACAAGTGGAATTGTTTTGCTAGGTGAAAATGAACAAGTATCTCTTTGTTTAAAAAAATCAATTGAAAAAGCCAAACAACAAAAGACTCCTCATCTCATTCATTGGTAAGTAGTTAGTTTTTAGATGAATGCAAGATTTGGGGATATTTTCGTATCATGATCTGTTCCGCCAACTATAATCGCTAATGTGCCAAAGAAATTTTAAACTTGCAATTAAAAAAAAAAAAGAAAACATGTAGGAGTTTGACAGGGGTTGGATACAAGTTATACCTTTCAAGTTGGTCTCCTGTGTTATTTTTCTTTAGTATTAAGCTGGCACTGCCCAGAAGTTGCCAAGACTTTGATTATTCTGTGCCAGAGATCACAATACGAAAATCTATCCCAAGATTTTCTTGTTTTTTTACATAAATAATAATTATTATTTCAAAATTTATTTGGGACAGTATTTTTTTTTAAAGTTTTGTATTTGTTTTTTATATAGTTTTATTAGGTTTTAAATTTTCTTCTAATGGTTTTAGATGAAATATTAAACTTATCGTTATCTTTTTAATTTTTTGTATTAAATCTGTTTTCATTTGTTTGTGGCTTGGCAATTTTAAAAAATTGAAACTGCTGAACTTGATAAGCACTATCCTGGTTGACATGATTTAAATCCTGTGGTATTTTTAAAGTTATAGACTTGTTCTGCCAAAAGTAATTTAGAATAATTATTATCTTTCTTGCTCTCTGTTCTACATTTGAAATCTTATTCAATTTTAGTTTAAGCATAATCCCTGTAGCAGAAACTCGCAAACGTTGCAGTAGGTACTGCAGATTATTTTTTTATATCGGATTTCAAAATAATAAAAATATACTGCCTGTGAAAAACAATGACTGACTGTTTTTTTTCCACATCTTCTTTTTTTTCTTCTTTTTTTTAAGTAAATAAAATTTCTGAGATCAACAGAAAAGGTTATTTTTTTAACTTCATTGTTAGCAACAATACAGAATCATGATGCCCCGTTTTTAAATTTGACATCCAAAACAATTCATGATGCAAGTTCTGCCTGCTTGCAGTGCTTCAATAAACCAGTTATAGAATCTTAAGTTTGGCTTTAGTTTATTGAAGGAAGTAATTTAAAAAATTTAGAATTGTTCTAAAATATTTTTTTGTAGGAAAAATAAAAAACTTTCTGAATGTAGTTAATTTTTATTACTTAACATTGATAAAAACATTTTTTTGAAATTTTAGTAGTTTCTTTCTTAGGTCTAATAGTATAATATTATTTATGTGTGTAGATTTCTACTCATTATATTATAGAATTTATTTATTTATACTGTTCTAATTTTAGGATGTTGACACATGGTGTTCCAGTAATTAAAGATAGAAAGGAGAGAGTCGCAATTAAACTCTTAAGTGAAGATGCAGATCAGCCTAAGCAAGTTAGCTCAAGCTTAACTAAATTTCAAATACATTGTAAAAATTTATTCAGTTATTAAATACTGTAATTTAGTAATATTCAAATTAGTAGAAAATGCTGTAACTTTGGCTTATCATTAATTATCAGATACACAGTGGAATAAGACTACTATTTTTTAATATGCACAGTGTTCTGTAAAGATTGTCCTTAATATATATTTTTAGAATTCTTATAAAAGATAATAAAAAAGAAAATTGCATAAATAACCCAGATTTTTTTCTAAAAAAAAGATGGGTTTTTTTGGGTGGTGGTGGAAAAAGAAGCAAATAAATAGTATATCATATAGATAATGAAATAGATTTATTATTAAATTTATAATAGCTTGCAGCATTAAAATTGGAAGATATGTTAAACATAAAATTTACTTTAAAAATCAAACAAACAAATAAAATCATTAAACAGCTTCTTATGATTTTTATTATGTAAGAGCTAGCTAACAAATATTTCTCAATTTCAATAAATTAATTTAATTTTATGTAAACTTTGTCATACAGATATTTTAAAATATAGTTTTGGGATAACAACATAAAAGGCAATCCTTCCAGAAAAACGCCCAATACTTCTTTGAAACCTCTTCTTTTTTCTCTTTTTACATTTCAGTTTTGACCATTACCAGTCGACACAAAATGAATTAACATTTGCTAATCATTCACACTTGCAATTTGCATTCACACAGAGCATTCGGGTGTAAACATAAATTTCTGGGGAATTTTCGGAAATTTCAGGGTAGTTAACAGGTATAAAATCGTTTGGCAAAATACAATTTGTTTCGACAAATTTGTGATTTATCATATTTGGCGAGTTGGTGAAAGCTTAGTGTCGACCCTGAGACAAATTTAGCTATTTTTTAGTTTTTAAGGAATTAAAAAAAAAAGAGAGATTGTAATAATCTGCCGTTTGTTTATTTTTTTATTTACCCAAAGATTTAGTAAACTAGTCCGTGATTTAATTGATTTGTAACTCTACTAGCTCACTAATTATCACCTTTCTTTATTCAAGCCAATTATAGTATTTCAGTTCAGCAGAAGAAATGTCAAAAGTCATATTCTACATCCAGTAAATGTTGAATACAAAGTTTTAGCTGAAAATAAGACTGTATCTTCGAGTTTAATTGAAGTTGCTTCTTCATCTGGTAAGCAAATAAATATTTCATATGATATGCTTTAAAAAATGGTCGAATGTGTCTTTGAAAATTATACAAAACTTAACCTTATCTCAGTGTTGTTAAAATGTTCCAAATAAACTCCTCAACTGTAATGAAAAACTTGAATTTTATATAAATTTCCCTACATTAAAAAAAAATACCAAGTTAAATAAATATGTCAGGATATGAACATTTGTACACGTTATTAACAAATATTGTATTTGATAATGTAAAAACTTTATTTGCTTAAAAAATTTTAAAGGTGCTAGAAGTTAACATCTTTCAAGCGAGCAAAAATAGGCACCCATTCTCAAGATTTGGTGTCAAGGTGTGAATGAAGAAAACAAAACAGTTAGAAACATAAAATGTACTGTTGCTAATCAAAAAATTTAAAATCAATTATTCTGAAAAATGGTGGTGGCCAAAAGAGGCAAATCAGGTTCCGTTGCATTTTCAGGCGCCATGGTGACAAACTGATATTGCTAACTAGGAAATCAACATTCATATGCATGAAATGAAATTTCAGGGCATCAAGATGCGCTGGTGTAACAAGGTGGGGGGATTTCATCATTCACAAAATTAAATTTTCGACCAAGGCAACATGTAGCAATAGACGATTTATTGAATTCTTGATGACTGACATATCTATCGCATTTTTTTTAAAATCTAAATTTTAATATGCATTTGGCAACTATATGTTTTCTGCTTCAAATCTGTTTCATTTTTCTCATTCATTTATGGCAAGTCTTGAGAATGGGCATCTTGTTTTGAGCCTTTGAAGCATGTTGTCTTTTGTTACTTTTTGTTTTCTACATTATCAAGTATATATTTCCCTTTCTTAGAATTTTTCATTTAATTATTGTGTTTCTTTTAAAAAGTTAAACTACAAACTTAAGAGTGTAGAGTAAACTTGTTTTTTTCTTTCTTCCTTTTAACAAATTGTTTTTATTTGCAGAAAATAAAATGAAACGAAATAAATATTTTTAGCTTCGTTTGCAATTTCATACTCATATATATTGTATTCAAATTCTTAAGTGTATAAATGTAAGATATAGATTTTTTTTTTATGAAACCTGCATTGAATAGAAAATCCATATCTAATATGCTACTACAATGTTCAATTTCGTATCCTTGAAATTTTGAACAGAACCCAGAAGTCTTGAGAACTGTTGGACAAAACCTAATATGCATTTGCATTATCAATGGAGGAAAATTTTCCATGATTAGTCCAATAGCTAGAAGAGTCCTTGTTGCTAGGAGTATTTTTCATCAGTATTGTGCCAACCTGGCCACCTGGAACAATATTTTCTATTCAACTAATTGCGTTTCTGCTTTGATTTTAAAAAAAAGTCTTGTTAAACTTACTATTAACTTTTTTTTTCAACAACGTATTTTTCTAATTAAAAATAGTCTAATATAAAGTAAGGCTGTGGTTATATTTTTGTATTTGCTCTTATTCTCGCATTCATGTTTGTACTATTTGTTTACATTTTGATTATTTTTCTTTAATTTTTTCCAGTTGTCTACCACTTTGTGAGAGTCTATGCCTCTACCCGAATAGTTCCTATATTAGGAGATATTTTATATGGATCTAGAATGAATACAGTTTTAGGCATGCCTGTTCGTTTACATATCCAACATGCACAAGCACAAGATATGCAGGTAAATACATGTACATTTATTATAAAACACACATTACAGAATAACATCAATTTATAGATCTCTAAAGGAAAAATGAATTAATTATAGTATTTTAATAAAGTTATAAGTATTTTGATAAATATTTTTGCAAACATTAAAAAAATATGAAATATATTAATATTATCTGAAAATTTTTTTTTTAACTACAGTGAAACCTGTAAAAGTGACCACCTGGGTAAAGTGAGAATCTGAGTAAGGTGACCATTTTCTGCAAGTTTTATTTAAAGAGTCCTTTTTAAAGACNATAAATATTTTTGCAAACATTAAAAAAATATGAAATATATTAATATTATCTGAAAAATTTTTTTTTAACTATTTAATAAAATTTTTTAAATCGTCTTCTTGCATTTTTTCTGTATTGTGAAGAATGTTAAAGTTTTTGCAGAATCAAAAATTAGATAATAGCTGTTTTCAGTTTTGAAAAATCCATAAAAGATGTTACTCCATGAAACTGTATGATCCTCAATTTTGTTTCTTAACTTCTTTCTAACAGAATATCTAACGCTTAAAAAGATTTTTTTTTTTACTTTTAATTCTAAAAATTCTTTCAGAATTCTAAGATTCCAAAATAAATATTTTTCATTTTGTAGTAACTTTTAGGTTCTTAAAAATATCTTTTCTTAATTTTAATTTTTTTTATTATCCTACTGATTAATTTTTATTTGCTGCTGATTAAATATCTGTATTTAGTTTAAAAATTCTCTTTCACTCAGTGAAATAGCTGGTTATTTAATCAATTTAAAAAACTAAATATTTTGAGAGACCTTTAAAAGAAATAAACGGTTCTTCAAAATTAAATTTTTAAAATTTCTTTTTTCTTCTTCACTTTTTAATTTTTATATACCTCTTAAGTTTAACTAAATATAATTTTAAAAAATTGCAGCCTTTACCCAAGAAAATGTCTGAAGCTTTGGATTTACCTAAAGGATTGCACGGGCACACCATGATGCCTACTATGCTCCATTTCCGAAGTATTTTGCTACCAACCTTTGCAGGTAAAGAAGATGTTATTATAACTGCTCCACCCCCAATACATTTTCAATGGACTGCAGAGCAGTTAAATTTGTTAAATAATTGTAAATAAATATATTTTTTAAAAGTATATTGTTTTTATTAATAAGACAGAGTCGAAAAAAGATATTGCGAGAAAATACAAACTTTAATGAGTAAAATCAAAATGATCACGGTTCTCACTTAAAAAAATTTAAGTTATTTTTTTAAATGAAATAACTAATATTTTTTAGAAATCGTTACGACACTCTTAACAAATAAGTTTTATACAAATAATATAAAAATTATATGAACATTAAACTTTTGTTGTACATGTTGCTGAGAGAATATTTAATTTGCCATCCCAGCTGATTTCTATCATGTCTGTAGTTCAAAAACAACGAGTGTTCTTCAATAAAGTATATTATGTTATTTAAAAGAATTATGTATCTAAATTTTGACTTCAGACTTTGTGAACCATTCAAAATTATATATGTGGTTTCTCACTTATGAAATGACAGAAAAACATTATTTTTTAAACATGAGGAGCTGTTGAATCGAAGTATGAAATTTTGTATTAATTGTTTATGATTAAAATTTTTTTTTACCATTTTATAAACTAGCTACCTCTCGGCAATACTTCATGTAATATTTTATGTGATTTATATCCATTTAATGTATAATTTAAAATTGACGTGTGTAAAATTACTGATTTTATTTTCATAGTTTTAACATTGTGCATTTACTTTTTTTTTTAGTGACAATCCTTTTATTAAAGTTAAAGGAAGAAACAAATTTATTGTTGAGTTTCTAATCTTTATATTTAATGTAATTATTAACTTTTAGTCAACTTAGACTAACTTATAAAATTGCATTTTAAACTGCTTCCCTTACCAAAATTTTTTTTGGGGGGGGGGATGCAAAAAATCAAACTTTTTTATTTCATTAAAAAATACAAGGAATTAAAACAAAACATATTGCACAAGTAACTTGAGATTGTAATTTTTTATATATGTAAAAATTAATTAATTTACCATCAGTTTACTTTCCCTAGTTAACTCAGGCAAATGAAGAAAAAAAAAAGTTAAATGTTAGTTTTTTGTATATTTTTTAAAACAAGGAACAACACTAAAGGTCTGGTTTCTTAGGACAAGCGCATTATCTGGGCGTCAGCGGAAAGTTGACGTAGAGCGGACGCCAAAAAAATACTTTTTTGTTAGCTCAGCGTGAGCAGTTGGTCCAACGCAGGCATTATCTCTCATTGCGCATGCGTTAATAACGTAAACAAATATTTATTTTGAATTTTTATTGATTTTGTTATTGTCGACCAGTGTTTTAGAGAACAAATAATGACTTTGTCCAAGAAAAAACACATTATAGCTGAGCTAAATGAAGAGTGCTATGTTTAATGAAGAAGCTATGTTTAATGTCAAAATCAAAATCTTGGCTGATTTCAATGTGCTGTTGGATGTTGTCCGCCATTGCTTCTGTGGTTAACGTCACGTTGTAATCCAACTGCAGTTGAGTTGGACGGCAATTGTAGTTCAAGATGAGCGTTCGATGACGTATACTATCAAACTCACAAATGGACCAATCAGAGGTTAGCGCTGATTTCCAGCTGACGGCGTCCTGTCCTAAGAAACCAGGCCTTAAGTGATATTTTCCAAATGCCAGTTATGTGATATGCCTTTTTTTAATGTAAATTCAGCAGTTATGATACATACAATCGCACAAAACACGTGTGCATTTCCACAATCCAATAGCAAAACTTGGCAACTGTCCAATCACTGCAGATTTTTTTGTTTTGTTTCAGGCGGAGTAAAAACGTGATAAAACAAAACGCACTGACAAATTCTGCTACGCCCAAGTTTTCTTGGGATAACAAATATTTGCAACATATACATATCCGGGGACCGGGATGGTATGGTTGGTAGGACACTGAAGCCATGTCCAAGAAGTCATGGGTTTGATCCTTGCCGGTTGAAGACTCCCCATGTAGTAAATGGTGACTGATGCACGTTAAATCTGTCGCAACTCAACGTCCTCCATGTTCCCATAACACATCATACTCTGGGGCTACTGATCCAGGAATTTCCTTGTCTTCTGGGTTGGTTCAAAATTACGAAGCTACGGAGTTGAACATTAGTAGTTGTAAAACCAAAATTGGGTCGGCTGTTCAATTACGGTTAAAAATCGGGATAATCAGGTAAGCCGTTAGGGATGATAAAACAATTTTGTTTAGTGAGTTCTTAACTGGTAAGAATTTTTTTTTTCTTTTCAAATTAAACGAATAAACATTTTGTAAAAGATTGATTTGAGGAATAAGGAACATGTTATGTGAATGAATTGATGTAGGAAGATTTAGTTAAATGTAAGGATGCACAATCTAAGGCCACATGTAGCCATTCAGGCATTTTGAATTAACCTACATACAATAAATTATCTCTCCCTGTACAGTAAAAAAAAAAAATAATAAATGTTTGAAAAAGTTTTATGCATCCAAAAGGCTACTGCTGATTAACAAAGTTTATTAAAATGAGCTAACTGTTTAAAAAGCATGCTTGATTAAAAGAATTCAAAATGTTGAATAAAAAATAAAATTCTAAAATTCCATCCTAATAATCACTTTTATCTGATATTAGGTTAATAACTGTAGCCGAAATTTTGTTCTTCAAATAATATAAAATTTTATTTAATGAGGAAAATATACATTTTTGAAATTTCCAACTTCTTTAATTTACAAAAAAAAAAAAAAAAGAAGTTAAACAATAAAATTGCTTTGAAATCTCATACATAAGCATATTTGAATTTGTTTTCATTAAATTTTTATAACTAATAAACGTAATTTAAAATTTGATTAAAAATAATTTTAATATTTATATTTGGGAAAGAAATGAACAATGTGTATAACCTTACTAATTTTAAATGGAAAACTAAAGACAACCTGCATTTTTAGGATTACTTTACATACATTTACCCAAACAATAATCCTGAATAGGTTGTTTTTCTCTATTATCCGAGAGGATAATATTGATAAAAAGCCTAAGTTTGTTAAAGTGTTCCAAATTTACACTTGTAACGCTTTAAATATCAATGTCTTCACCAATTATAAACTTGAAGAAAATGCAGTCTAAACAGGTGAATCCAGCATATAGTGAACATTCAGTTGTAGCCTAAGTTTTTAGTGGTCTCATTCGAAACGCAATTTAACTGTTATTTCATATGCTTATAGTCACCAATTACTGGTTTTAATTATTTAAACTGTAACAGAATAAAATTGTTAAAAAAATCTTAACTGACAAACGTGTAGTTAGCATAACATATCCAAACATAAAGCCAACCACCATTACTCAATATTAAATTTGAAAATAATTCGGTGAAAGCTAATCGTAAAAAAAACTGAGAATTAGTATAACCACGTAACTGAAACATATTTGAGGTAAGAAATAAAGAATAATAAATAGATTTTGTTTTGAATTAAGTCGCCACAGTGAATTAATGAGTTTTACATTTGTATTGATTATCAAGAAGAGAATAAAATATTTTATATTAGCCATTTATAAAATGTAATAAAAATTAAATAATTGGTTTAATTTAATTAAAATTCGATTAAGAATGATTAAAAAAATAAATGTAAGAAATTTTAAAAGCTAGGAAATATGTAATTCTATCACAGACCTGTAATAAATATAAAATAAAAATATTTATAAAATAAGTCAAAAATACACTCAACATTTTTAATAAATAGTTTATTGTTTAATAATAGTTACACATTGCCATAATAAATTAAAAGAAAAATGACCTCTGAAACACTGGTGATTAAAATTCTGTTTCACTTTCAAGACACACATACATTAATGAGAATACAATCTGGAAAATTTAGTTTCATATATCACTCAAAAATACATGGATGGGAAGTTTTTAGGATCATATTCATATAAATATAACCAAAGAATTGCTGAAACGAAATGTAATTTTATTTTAATTACATGTGATAATTCAAAAAACAGAATACTAAAATTACTAATTAAAACACCCCTTAAAACAAAAAAAGGCTTTTAAAAAAAAATCATGTTATGTAATTGTTGGGGAAAAAAAACCTAACTATATACACACATTAGTAATATTACTATGCAAAATTGAAGACATAATAGTGCACTATCACAGATAAAAATCCAAATCAAGCAAAAACAAAATGCTATAAACATGTTTGCTTAAGCAGACAAAACATTGGACTAGGTCAGTTTCACTCTTGTTCTGAAAATTTATTATGTTAAATGGAGAACCTTTTTAGTAACTAAAATTGTCACATTTTTAGAAATTAAGTTATAACATTTTTAGTGATTTAAACTTTAACATTACTACAATGAAGTAAAACATAACAAAAAGGGGCTAAATAAAAACATTATAAAAAAAATTAATAACTTGTGCGATATTAGGAACAATTGAAAAAGTATATCAACAGAAAATTTAAACTGTGACCTTACTAAGCAATAACAAATTAATAATAATGGGAAAAAAAATTCATTTACTTTGATAAAATGCCATAAAAATCACTGTGTATCCATTTTTTTAAAAATACCAATAAGAAACAGAATTAAATAAATGCATACAGTTAAAAACTGGCTATCTATTATAAAGTAAAATGATATTCTGTTTATTTAACTCAAAATGAATATTTAAAATGAAAGGATGAAATAAAAATAAAAGAACGATTAAAACACACACACACACACAGATCACTTTTTAAAAACTAAAGAAACTCAAGAAAAAAGACACAATGATATTTTTAACCTCCACCAGAAAGATTATCACTATAAATACACACAAAAAAATAATAGTAAAAACTACATAAATGATGGTTAAATAACAATTTGCTATGGTTGCCAGATACTGAATTTGTTAATTAGTACTGATATTATAACAACAGTATTAAAAAGGAAATAAAAACATCATTTTTAATGTATTTCACGAAAAAACTAATCGTTAGAGTTCGCAGGGTTCCCACTAAGACATAATAGTGACTTTCCCCCCCCCCCATTCCCCAAAAAGTGATTTTTTTTTTTTTTGCAAAAGAATTCCTATGAAATCTGATCAGACAGCCAAATTGAATTTAAGATCATTTGACCCACCACCAAAAGAGCTATACATTAGAGAATCAAAAAAATATTGGATTAATTTTTTTTTGTTGCATTTAATACTTTCTCTTTACTTGCTGGCTATAGAAAAATTGATCCACTTGAAATTTTTGCTTTTCTAGCATAGCGACATTTGACAAATAGAAATTTTTTAGTTAAAAAATTTAGCAATTAGTAATTTTTTAACCCAAACATGTTAAAAGACTTAACTCCCATAAAAGTAACTTTAAGTGACTAATGAAAGAAGTGCTTTTTAGAGGAATTATTGACTTAGTAGGAGGAAACCCTGAATGGCCAATTATATGCAAATAATCACCGCTTAAATAATGAATAACAATATTAATAATTCTTGATACATTAAAAATATATATATATATTTGTTAAAATCATATAGTGATGGCAAGATAAGTATTCACTGCACTTGAATATAAATCTTATGCAAATATTGCTGCTTGGATAATAAAAACTATTACAGAAGAAAAAATAATATATTTGAAACAAATTAAAGGAAAATTAATAAAAAATATACAGATAATTGACGAAATAATTGTTTCTTGTTTACTCTGTTTATATTGAGCAATCTATAAATGTTTGCTATCACACAATTAGTAATGCAAAAGTAAAAATAGTTGAATGAATAATTTTTGAAAATAAGTACATTTTGTGTAAAAATTAGATACTTTTCTTTTATATTAGTATGATAAATGCCATAAATTAAAACAGAAATGCAGCAGAACATAATAGCCGAAAATGTTAATTAAACATGGAAAAAAAATTTAAATGCTAAAAAGCAGAAAACTTGCTGGTATTTATCCTTTATACAAACTAGCTTAATATCATCAATCTATTCCAAATTATCATTGATAATTTGGTAGACAAGTTCGAATACAAACAGTATAGATGAATTAATGGTAATTAAAAATAAATTGAACCACGAGAAAATTTAGTTTGATCAAAATCTGTCAAATAGAATGGTTACAGTGAAACATGTGACGAACACTCCTACAAAGCGGATGCCTCCCATTATGGACATAGTTTTAATTTCCCAAGAATTTTCTGTGAAAAAATCATCATGTACCTTCTCCGCAAAACTAGCGCAGCCCTGACACGTTTTTTTTTAAAAATTATTTCTATAAACCGGACAACAATTTTTCTAAATTTGAAAGGGAAAAAAAAAAAAAAAACGGTTTCTGCTTTAAATTCTAAGGGGAAAAAAACATGCAACTTTACACCATTTTTAAAGCGTGTAATTTTTTTTTACCTTATCCACAAACTAAAAATATTATGCTATTTCACTACAAAAAAAAAAAATTATTCTCTTTTCACCTGCCTTTATTTTTGCTAAGAAAGGAGAGAAAATGATACTACTCATGTGAAATATTTCAGACAGTGGTATCTTTTCACTTGGACAATACTGGTTATGAGACCCCACAAGCTGGTCTTAAATGCTCTCAACTTCTCCTCCACGCTGAAAATTCCTTTCTACTTATTATCAATTTTAAGACTATATTTAATGCAGCAATGTAAAAAAAAAAGAGAAAAAAAAGAGAGAGAACAGAAATCTAGACATTGAGGTGTTCATATAAATGAAACATTTTTTAGACAATTGATAGATGATTGATTGTGAATATTACAACACTATAGAGTCCCCTGCCTTACAGGTATGCATTACTGTGTTCTTTTTTTCAAAGCAAAGTGGGAGGTTTACTTTCAAGGGTGTATTGCCACTTTTCTTATCAAGTGATAGGCAGGTGTCAGGGGGTGTAAACCTAATAATCAAACTGAGGAAGTGGTGTGAGACTGAAAGTGCCTATTTTTTATTATAAGGATTAACTTGAATGTCCGTTTAAATAGGGAAAAAAAACATATTCATTTCTCTGAACCTATATCTAAAATTATACGTACATATCAAATGTTTTCATATATTTTTCTTTTGTATTGAAAAGAGTATTTTTTAAAACTTAAATAATAACATTGTAAATAATTATTATAGACTATTCAACTTTTTCTATATCATTGGAATTATTCTGAAAGCAATTTACGATGTTAAAGCTTGTTATTAGCGTACCCTTCCCATAAGCACGCAACTCATGTAAGCAGACAATTTTATCACTCCCAATGTACATTTAACAGAGGTTTCACTATATCTCATTTTAGAAGGGGAAAAATACATATTGTTACAGTATTTTTAAAATGCTGGTTTGATACCAAAATTGCCACTTGTCTACCATAAAAAAAGTATAAAGAACAAATACCAAAAAGTATAATGTATTTTGCAGATATCTTTACCGAGACTAATGTCGATACATTTTCCTTGACATTCACTTTTTTTAAAAACTTTTCCTTAATTATTTCCCTTCTGGATAATCTTCATTATGGAAAGTGTCATCCAATTAATCATGATTTCTGCGTAAATACCAGTTCTTGTCAGCATCCTCATCTTCTGGACCATCCTCTTCACGCAATTCTGCACGATGTTGAGCTCTCTCGAACATCCACGAATTGATGTTTGACTCCTGCTGCGTAAATCTGCGCTGTGCTTCTTTCAGCAACTCATCCACCTCTTTCATATTCCACATATTTTCTTCCCACTCCTTTTCATCAAGAACTGTCTCTGATTCATCTACTCTTGAATCATCAACAACATATTCTGTATCTTCATGCAAATTTGAATCATTATCATCAGGAGGTAGATGTTGGTCATCAGTATTAAGTTCTGCTTCTGGGTTGGTGGAATCATTTTCCTCTGGCTCAGCCGAGACATCTTCTAAGTTTTGGTTATCGCCAGCAGGACCAAAATGTGTTTTTAAGAAGTCATCTTTCATATGAATCCATTTGTTCTTCATTTCTCCCATCAAAGTCCAGATATCGTTTTTAACATTTTGGGTCTTTTCATCTACTGAATATGATTCGAGAATCTTCTGGGTTTTATCTTGGGCCTTTTTGTAGTAATGGCAAATATAGTCCAAAATGCCTTCCACTTTCTTTTTGTCGAAAAGAACATACTTTGAAATCATGTCAGAGACATCTGGAAAATTTTCTATCGTTCCCTTAAAGTTGTTTTTGATTTCTTTCCAAGACCAATTATAAAATCTTTTGTTTTTCTTCTTGTGCTTGCGTTTTTCCTCATCATATTTTTCTTTCCGTTTTTCCTCATCATACCTTTCCTTAAGCTTTTCGTCGTCAAACTTTTCTTTATGTTTCTCCTCGTGGTGGTATTCGTCGCGATGGTTTTTCTTCGGAAACCCTTCTCCTTTATGGGGTTTTTCTATTTCTTTAACAAAATCTTCAATAGAATCTTTCCAATTCTTCAATTTCGCTACTTCTTCATCGAGTTTTCGGCGAAGCTCCTGGATTTCTTGCTGCTGATCTTTATCTTGCTCCAAATCCGACGTAGAACTAGATCTCTGTTCTTTATTCTCCTGATTTTCTGCGTGAGTGGGATGCTTGCCGTACCGAATTCGTACCAGCTGCTTCTGCAATTCCTCATTGTCAATACGCAATAGATTGATTTGTTCTTTCAGTTTTGTTATCTCTTTCCTGTAAGGGTCTTTCAACGAATCTCCCTTCCCGCCAATGCCTCTTTTGATTGCATTTGTTTGCTCTTCCAGCTGATGGATTACTGTCTGCATTGCTTTATGAAGTTTATAGTTTTCAGATTTTAGATCTCTCACACCTTCATCAAGTTCTCCAAACAGCTTACCACCTTCAATTTTAGCTAAAACTTTGCTTTTCAAGTGCTCATTTTCAGTTATTAATTTATTGACATGGCCTTCCATCTGCTCCATTTTAGCTTCATGCAGAGACGCTGCAGAAATAAAATACATAATTATAATTTAAAAAACATCCAACAAGAAAGGAAAAAAAAACTAATAAACACAAAATAATGAATGTTTCTACATAATATTTATGATTTTTCACATACCGACAATATATAAGAGTTTTTTAAAATTAAAAAAAAAAGAAAACAAAATGCAAAAACTAAATTATGCTCCTAACTGCAGGCTTCAATTAGCTTTATTTTCTATTTAAGATTGACATATATGTGCAGATTTACTGTGCATAAGCTACAAGTACATAGAACTCATAAAATAAGTTTAAAATATACAGTATTATTATGCTTTGTTTTGGCTATATTAATACAATTTAACTATTACAAATTAATACTATTTTTTTCAGATTTAATCGTGTGAGCTAATGACAAGATTATATACTTTCTTTATTTTATTTCCAAACTTTTTTTTAAAATTTGTTAATATTTTTAAAAACTACTTTTTAATAATTTTATTTCTTCCCTTTTAAAATTTTTTTATATCTTTTCCCCGTTTTCTCTCTCTATATTTATGTAACACAATAAAGCGACAAAAAAGAATAAAAGATAAGAGAGAATAAGAAAATAAATTAAGGAAAAATAATAAAATGTATTGTTATTTTTCACCATCAACTGCACTGGCTTAGTCTCATATATTTAACTTCATAAGTTTTTTTTTTATCTGAAAATTCATCAACATGACTCTAATTCCTCTTTAACAGAAAATATTTTCTCTTTTATGTTTTTTAAAGTTCTCTTTTACTATGTCGTAAATAAATGTTTAATCCAGTACCTCTGCAATCATGATTCAATATTTCATATATCCATCTTAGAGCTTATTCTGTATTACAAAGGTTTTATCTAGGAAGCTTTTTTTCAATCTTTTTCATCATATTTATAAAATTTTTAAATTTATTATTTTAAAATGGTAATAAAATTAGCAAGAAAATAAAAATAAACACTTTTGAATTCATTTAAAAATAAGAAAAAAAAAGCATTTAAAAGGATTTCTTTTAGTAACTTCCCTAATACAGTGAAACATCTCGGGAGCGATCCCTTTATGTTCCACAGTTAAATGGTCGTTCTAAAGGGTTACCTTTATTGACTTCAAAATTATATCAAAGGTACATGATTTTGAGCAAGCAATTTAGATTTTACCGTAATTTTCTAGGTGCGAAAATGCAACTTGCATTAGCGTTATGAAAACGTGATTGACACATAAAATTTAGCATGAATAAAAATGACCTTAACTTATATATTATTGTTATATAATTGTGTGTAAAAACAAATTTATCAATAATGAATACTAGAACTATTTTAAATAAATAAACAATTATGTTATTTGTTTATGTTTGCATTTAATTTCATATCATAAAAATTAGTAAAAAGATGAGAAGTGGTTTGTTTATTTGAGATGCTGGTTTTTTTCAAAAATCCTTCTTTTTTAACTAATTTAAATTTTAACTCTAAAAATAAATCATTGATGGCATTGTTGTAAGTACACTCAGACTTTAACATGAGGATGTCAATCTCTCTCAGAGATTGTCAAAAAGAGCTCTCTGAGCAAGAGCCACTCAGAAATAGTTGGAATTTATATTTTCATGTATCCTTATTTGGCCTTTTCCGCATTTGACCTTTTCCGCCCAGTCACTGGAAGAAGTCTCTCCTAAAGGTTTTTTACAACAAAGTCTATTGAAAAAATTCCTTGCCTACCAAAGTGATCTTAAATAGAAGTGGTCGCTAAACAGAGGTGGTCTTTCCTGGAGGTTCCACTGCACTATGATATTTTTTTGAAACATGCAAAAATTAGGTGAATTTTCGGCTAAATCAGAAGACTAGGAGAAACCAGTAATATATAACGGAATTGGTAGGTGTAATAATGCTGAACTATAATTAAACACGAATTAGTGTTTTAACGAAGTCTAACGTTTTGTCTTTTTTAGTTTTGTGGAAAGATATTAGAAAAAAAATATGACATTTTATTAAAACATTGATGATTTATCATTATTGAACTCAACATAAGAAAAGTTCATACTTCTAAGTAAGGTGAGTTGAATGCATGAGAGAGCAAGGCAGATAGTAGCAACAAAAGCAACAATAAATAACTCCTTCACTGAAATCCCATCCCTGTAGTAGTCCAGTGCCCCATGGATGACCAATCTCAAAATTTCGGTAAAATAGTGTAAGTATGAATTTCCTTGATTAGGTGCAGGTCCAGGTGTCTCTCCCTCTGGATTGGCATCTTTCTCTTCTACAGGGGCAGGGGGTGGAGGAGCCACTTCAGATGCTGACATAGTTGAACTAATGTCTACAAACAAAGAAGATTTTTAATAAGTAATACCCAACAAATTCTTTATTACAGCTATAGCTGAAAATTTATTATATTCAATGGTGCTTGCAATGAAAAATAGTTTTAATTAAATAAAATTAAAATACTGTATCAAACTATCAATAGAAGTATGAGAGATTTATATAGAAAATCTAAAGCACATTAATTTTTGCAATTATAGCCGCTGCAAGAGAACTATTCAATAGAAGAAAAAAAATGTTAAAAATTACTAGGGTCTAGAAGATATATTTTGTATTATAACAATAAAGAAATTTTAAAAATTACTCTAGAACATATATTTTGTGTTATAACAAACACATTATTTTAAGATAAGTGTTATACTTTTAAACAAAGATACACAATCTATAGCTCACAGATGAAATGTGCTCCATAAAGCTTTTTAACTTAAGACTCAAAACTGTCTTAAATATTGGTAAAAAAGTTAGATATATATATATATGAAATAGCATTGGGTATTCAAAATTAAAGTGTTTATTATAGTAATCATTGCATGGAGTGCAAGAGACCAAATAATCCAAAATCGAAGTGCTTCTATCTCAAAAAGCAAGGGAAAATCATGCAAATAAATCCCGATGAACTTTTAAATCACATGCAAAAAAGGAAATGTTAATAATTACAATTGGTCTATTTAAATAAGTCGAGGGAATTCTGTTCTCACAGTTCGGTTTAAGGAAAACATATAATATTAGTTCTTGCATAACTTAAATCTAAAAATAGAATAAAAAGATAAGACATGAATAATTAAATGTGAGAAAGCATTTTATTTTGAATAATTAAAGGAGAATTTAGATAAAGAAATAATATAAAAAGATTAGCTAAAGCTTTTTCTTCTATTTTTTTATTTTAGCTGTTCTATTTTAATTTTATTTTTCTTAGCTGAGCTCTGTAATAGAAAGTTACGAATCTAGTTTATTACATTTATCCTCCATCCTTATTTTTCAAATTTTAGACTTCAACACTTTCTAATTACAGGCCTGAAACAGAAATTTTACATTGCCTTATTTATACATTAAACTAAAAAAAAATAATAACTGAATTACCAGAGGAACAAAATGAAATATCCATAATGGGAACATCTAAATTACTGTGGTTATCGTCAGTGTCGATACAATCGTCGATGATGTCGATGTCACTAGAAGAGTTACTGTCAGTGTGATGCAAGCCATCCTTATCAGCAATGAGTTCTTCGACACCAGAGTGTCCAAGGCTTTCGTGTACAAAGAGCCCAGAAGGACTGAAACAAAATAATTAAATAATGATTAGTGCCCTCTAAATTATGCGAACATGTGGAAAACCTCCTAATCACCAATTTATATTTTTCAGCAAAATGTCTTTATTTAACAAATAAATTTGTTTTTTTATGGTCTTATCCCTGTGTAACATTAATTTTTTCCAATTTTAAGAGTCCTTTTAGCAACTTATCCCTGACTTAGTCCTAATTCAGTCAACAATAAAAGAGCTGTATCTTGATATGGCACTAAGTTTTACAAAAATGAAAAAAAGACAATGTATAAAGCAATATTCAGCCTTTCGGCTCACTTCATTTTAAATAAACGTAAATAATCACCGTGATATTGAATATGGATATAAGGGGTCTTAGTTGAAATCTTTAAAGTAATAATTGAAATATTTTTATTGAAAAAGAAAGAAAAACTTATTTTATCTCTTAAATCAAAATTCTTTTTTTTTTCTTTCTAGTTTCAGTTGTTTTCTAGTCCATCCGCAGCAATAAGTTTGTAACTTGTAATGATTATTTTGGTTACTATATACGATAATTGTACAATATTTAATAAACCTATCTTAAATATATATATGGCACTATACATGGACATTTTTATAAAAATCTTATTGTCTTGCCTAGGGTTTTCTTACAATAACTACATAAATATTCAATAAAATTAAACAAAATTTCTAGAGTAATTTTTAATTCATAACATAGATATCATTTTAAAATTTGAAAAAAAAAATATGTAAAAATTTAAACAAAATAAAAGTATTTAAAGTAATTTTTTCATACTGTACATGTGCAAAGAGTGAAAAAAAAATTTAATATTTTGAAATTTTAAAACTTTTCTAAAAAAATTTAAAGTAGTTTTGGTTAATTTTAAAAGAAAGCTATGAATGGTAAGTAGTTTTTCACAAATTATATTTTGTATTATTTACTGAGACTTATTAAAAATGACTTGGCATTATATAGGACCTTTCCCTATAAAAGTATGTTTTATTTCACATGCTTTCTTTCCTTAGACCATCAGTATAGGGTATTATCATTTGCTTAAAGATTTTTATGTGATACAAAATGAAATTTAAGAAAAATTCCTTATCAGTTAGGACTTTCGAAAAAAAAAATTCTAAAGCTACTAAGAAATTGTTAGAAACTTACAAGCTGTTAAAACTTTTTCACAGGTTACCATATACGATTCGGAACAAATTATTAAAAAACATTTTTAAATCTTTTCCGTGCATGGACAGTATAAATGGAATACTGTAAATGCTCATATCTATTGCAATTTTCAATAAGTTTTTTTTCTTCTAAATTTTAATTTTTTTAAAAAAATATTTAGTTTTTTATAAAAAATATCCATATTTCCATAAATATTTAAACTAGACTTATGAAATTTTTTACAGTTATTGCATATTATAACCACAATAATTGGTGCGAGTTGCAAGTTTATTGCTATAATTTTTTACATGGATTGTTCATAAACAGACTTTTTTGTTCGTAATTTATTGCCGTTCCCTCAAATATCAATAAGCTAAACTTCATTGATATGTATGAGAAAACACATGAACTAAACACTTCTGTATTTACAAAATAATTTTGTAATTATTTGAGAAATATGAGTTAATATAGAAGTGTTTCAACATATCTGCCCACCTCCTGTATTCATACACGTAAATTACACTTCAACAAACTTTGAAAATTAAACGATACATATGCAAGTTTATTTCGGAAATTGTTAAGCTTCTATGGTCTCAAAAATTCCATGAAAACAAAAACTAGATCTTCAAATTGGATTCTGTTTTAATACTCAGTGCTAATGGTACTTAAGAATAATGCAACACACAGTGCTAATGGTACTTAATAATAGTGCAACACACATTTTCTTACAGCACACGAAGAGCCACCTTATTCACTGGACTTGAATCCAATTAGTTTTTCCCTTTGATTCTTCTTTAAGACTAGGATTTTGCTAAACCTCATAGGAGTTTGGAATCCCTAGAATTCTTTTTTAATTATCTATTTGATATTTCTAGGGTTTGTATGTAAACTTGAATATATGATAGAAAAGATTAAATTACACACAGAAAAAATATTCCAGTTATACAAAGATACATATCCATTCTTTATAAGTTAAACAAAAATGGAATAATAAAGAAGTTTACCTTTGTTTCTCTTCTGCTTCACCTTCACTTAACACACTGCCTTTCTTACTTGCCTAAAAAGTTAAATTAAAAACATTTAGAAAATAGCTCAAACAACATTATCAAAGTACACTATTAAACATTGTTATAAACTAAGTCTGACACAAAAATAAAATAAAAAGGGATAAAGCACAAGGAGTGTTCTATGATGGTGGGATTTGTTGATTAACATATTATTTTAAATCAGAATTTCATTAACAAATGATATTAAAAAAAAAGAGAGAGAGAGAGAGAAAGAGAAGTTAAGGAAAAGAAGTAACTAATTAATAAAATTATTAATTAGGAGGATTAAATATTAAAAGAGAAAATATATATAAACTTATAGGTGAATATTAGGAATTGATAATCAATAAAATACAATAAATTACGAAAATCAATAAGGCTTACCGCAATATCAGAATCTAACATATCCCAATCCCTCATGTCAGGTACAGAAGAGGAAGATGATTGGTTCATCTCCCTTTCTTCAGACGAACTCTTTTCTTCATTCATTTCACTACATAAAACAGAAAAAACTTAAGTTTATCAAATGTAAGTTATTAGCTAATGTACAATGACGGGTGAATTTAAAAATGAGTTTTTACAAAAATGACCCATTCCTGCCTTATCTTGTGATGCTGTTCATGGAATAAATATAAATTATAATTTTCTTGCTCAGATCAATTAACAATTTAATATTTGAATATCAAATGATGCAATGCTGCAGGTTTCATTTCAAAAAATTTGTGTTTTCTTTGCTGCAGAATTTTTTGAAAGATACTTTTCTTACAGAATTATTCTCAAAGATGAGTTTCTTGCCCATCGGATGGGGGGGGGGGAATGCTTGTAATTTTTATATTTTCCACTGAGAATAAAGAATAAAACAATTCTGTTATGACTGGTTTCAGCTGGAATTTCAAATCGATAATATTAAAAGTAATTCCAGGATCTCGAGAGTTTAAAAGATAGTTCACTTTAAAAATGATGTTCCAAATTTCACATAATAATAAAATATGACTTTGAGTGGGGATGTTGTTACAAATTTAAATTTGTAACAAAAGAATACATGAATCAATGTGGTATATTTGTATCTTTTTTTTACTTGGTTTAAATAAAATAGATTTAAATCTTAATCACTTAAATTTTTAATTATGCACACAAAAATTTTAAATAATGCATTTGAGTCTCCACTGACTTTATTGTTCATAACTTGTGCCATGCATTTGCTGATTCCATCAAAAACATATGACGTGTTTTAAATGTGTTTTTCGGCAATAATGACCATAAATTTTCACTAGGTTTTTTAAAATCCTCAAGTCGTTCATAGCTCAGTTATTACTATTGATCATTACAAGAGTTTTTTTTTTCTTTTTATAAAATACTGATATTATGGCACGTGAAGTTCGAATTACATAAGCAATACTACTTAATATTGCACGATGCCAAAATAAAAGCATTTTAAAAAGCTGAAAGCCAGCACTTAAAAAGAAGATTTTAAGGATCTTAGAGAAAACTTTAGGAATTAAGAATTTTTAAAGTATTTTATGCACCCTTAAAATACAGTTGAAATTGATTAAATCAAGAACATAGGAATCGAGGTAATTTGCTTTTTAAAAGACGGCTGGCAAAAAAAGAGTCTTTTTTTAAAATTTATTTAAGTTTGATTTTCGTTAATTATTACTAATTAAAACACAAATAATACTTAGCATTATTCCAAAATAAATACCTCCAATAAAATGGTACAAATTATTTAATTGCAACAAAATTAACCACTGAATAAACAAAGTAACTTTTGATTTAACTCAAAATCTACATGAATTGTAATTAAATTCCATTATTTATAGGCATTGCTACACACTTAATAAGTATTAAAAGCCTATTTGTATTTTAAATATAATCAAACATAGAATCTGTACATAGATATAATCGAAACATGTGTATTAAACAATCAATTATTTACCACACAGCTAATTGAAAATTATATTTTAAAAGCTTCACACCACTTTTATCAACATTTAGTTTCTTTATTTCTAATTTGAGCATAAATTGATAATAATTTTCTCACCTTTAATATTACTCTAGATAAAAACTTTCATTATCAATGAACTTTGACTTTAAAAAACAAACAACATTCTAGTATTCATATTTATATATAACATGAAATAAAAAAACATTTCAGCTGAATGTTTTAAAAAATCAGTTGATCAGAATCAAAATTTCTTTTTTTAAAGAAATCAGGTGATTAAAATTATGCCAGATCTTGCCTTAAACCAGAGTCAATTAACATTATTCAAAGTAAAAGTTATAATGTACCAAAACAAACTAGGAAATGTTTGAAAACACAAGTCATAAAATTCATGATATAAATACATCATCAGTAGCATCAATTAATTACAAACAAAAAAAATGCCAACTTTCCAGACACTCCATACCTTTAGATATGGATAGTGTTGGTTTAATTGTTCCTCTCTTATAGCTGTTAGGTTTTGTGAGCCATAAATATTTGGTCATAAACATAAATACAAGCAAAACAGAATCAGATAGTTAATTTATCAAAGGTTGGCGTAAGAAAAGAACAGCTTTTGACAATTCTGAATGATTTGCAATGATTCAATTCAATATTTCCATTAATAAAAAATTGTTAAACAAACTAAACAAAGGATGTGTTTTTAAATCACTAACAAAACGAAGGAATTTTTTTTGAAAAAATCAGATACTTTGTTTAAACAACTTCAATGCAATAATTTTCAAGAAATTTGTGAAATTTTTTTCTTTAAATCCAAGTATTGCTCAGAACAATTATTTCATTAACGCTTTATAATATTAAATCGTGCATTAATAATAGATTTCCTTTCTGATCTCCTTGAATTACCTATAGTTCAAAATTAAATTCTTTTGCTGCACTGATTTTATAACAAAGAAATTATTAAAACTTAAGTTAACTTAGTAAGGATATTAGAATTAGCTTCATTATTCGAGAAGTTCGAGAAAAATTCCTTCATATATCTAAGTAATGCTTGTAACACATATTTCATTAAATACGCTTTTTAACATTTAATCAACCATTTATAAAAGATTTCCTTATTGATTATAGATCTATTGTTAATTACACTATTCAAGATCTCCTAAATTTACAACTCAAAATAAAACTCTTTTACTGAATTGATTCTACAATAATGAAATTAATTACATATTATTTCATTTAGCAAATAAATTATAGTTAGCCCCCAGCTACAACATAGCATGATAATTTATCTGATAAATATTGCTCTGCGAAAATTCTAATAATGCTAATTAGACAAAATACAATAATAATGAAATGAAACAAGTAGAAATAATTTACATTAAATGATCACTAAAGTGAAACATCTAAAGAAAATAGCCATTCAAATTAAATCAGCAACTCATTAATCTACATAACAAATGAATAAAAATAATATCGCGATTTTGCAATGTACAAGTTAAAATTAAAGTAGTTAGTTACCTAAATAAATTAAATAAATAACAGGATTCGTCAAATTTTCATTCGTTACAAGCTAATGACAGGTCAGAACTTGTCAAATAACTAAAAATGAAACTTTTAGTCACAAATCCATAGCGTCAATCCGACATTTTCTTTTGTTTACTAACATTAAGAGGTTATCGAAATCTGGCAGTGGAAAGTTTAAGTATGAGGAAGCATTTCATTGGTTACTTCAAGGCCAAGGTTAAATATAGGAGCACAAATGATGCATAAAATGTATAAATCGCAATACAGGGTTCGATTCTCTAATTTGGTTGGTTATCGTAAGCTGCGTTAAGCTTTGGAGCCAGAATACATGTTAAACATTGCGTTTCACGAATTTTACGAATTCTTATAGCTGTCATAATAGTAGTTGTATATTTTTTGTTTTAGCAATTAAATAATTCTCCTATTCTTTTTACTTCAATTGGTTTTTGGAATGGGTTATAGGTGGCATAGAGCAGAACTCTCTACCTATGGCAACACTTCACATGCTTTCATTCGTAGCGTGTGGAGAGTCATAGGAGAAGGTAGGTAGATACTTTTTTAGCGTCGCACAAGAGCTGCTGTTGTTGTTGTTCATTTACGTCACACATCATAAGATATTAATGTTAATATGTAATTTTGGTGAGTTTGAAGTGAAAATTTGTTTTAGTTTTTCAGAGATATATTGCTAAAAAAGGTGACACGGTTGCTAGATTTTGAATAACTCGCTTTTTTGGCAGTCTTGATATGGCCTCTTTCCATAAGTTTATTACTGTTTGTTCTTGTTGCAAGCTGTGCGCCATCTTACGCTAGTGTTAACACTTTTAGCATTGTAAACACCAGTATTGTTAGCATTGTAAACACAAGTAATAAGTAATCAAATACATTGTTTGTAAGAATCTCAAAACACAATGATGCCAAATGGATTTAAAATACAACGGAAACAGTAACCCGGAAATTTAGGAGCGTTCCTAAGTGTAGAAAACACCATCCCTACCTATGGCAACACTTCACATGCTTTCATTCGTAGCGTGTGGAGAATCATAGGAGAAGGTAGGTAGGTACTTTTTTGACGTCGCACAAGAGCTGCACAATGGGTAGTGACGTTGGTCTGGGAAACATCCCTGAGGATGATCCGAAGATATGCCATCGCATTTTTGGGTGATCAAAGTGGTTACCCAAGCGAACACTGACCGCAGTCAGTGATGTTTGACCTACTGGGAACAGTGTCTTAACGATCAGTCCACTGCGAGATCATAGGAGAAGGAAGCACGTTAGATTCTGATTGATTTTCAAGTATGTTGTAAATATTAGCAAAATAAAGGTGACAGCTATTTTAAATAGTATTTAATATGAACTTAGAAATAAAAAAGGAAAGGAACAATTAGAAAAAATAAACTCAGAATATACAA